TCTCTCTCTCTCTCTCTCTCTCTCTCTCTCTCTCTTTCTTTCTTTCTTTCTTTCTTTGTTGTTTTTTTGTGAGTCTGGAGGTGGAAATCAGGGCTTGTGCATGCAAGGCAAGAACTCTACCAACTGAGCTATATCCCTAGCCTTTTGACCAATATTTTAATTAAAGAAAAACCAGCCAGTCATGGTAGTGCACTCTTGTAATCCCAGAAACATGGGATCCTGAGGCAGGACAATCACAGGTTTAAGGCAAGTCTCAATAATTTAGTGAGACCTTGTCTCAAAATAATAATAATAAAAGAAAGAAATGTGGATGTAGTTCACGGATAAAGTGGTTTCAGTCTCCAGTCCAAAAAAGAAAAACAAAATTAGCCATGATACCATAATGGTTTTACACTCTAAAATGCCAAGCTCTTAATATGATAAATGATCTTAAGAATTGGTAATAAAATATAATTATCACACATTAACCACCTAATTCTTATATCATTTACTATTTTAACTTTATTTTAATCTGTTATTCATACAGAATTTGTTCAGGAAGAGTTTTTTCAGGAAGAATTTCTAAAATATTAAAAACATGCTACTTGAAAATCCCAAAGTCTTGGTAAAAGACTCATTTCTAACTTAATATTATACTCATTTATCTCTTTCAGATGCATGTGTAATATCAGAAGAAATCATGGAAAGATACCACATAACCTTAAGGTGGAAAGAATGGCAAAAGTTTTATGCTTCATCAGGGGATACAGTTGAATTTGTGTGTAAATATGGATATTCTCCATCAACTCGACCTCAATCATTTCGTACAAGGTGTATTGATGGTCACCTGGAATATCCCGTTTGTAGGAAGAGATACTCTTAATCTCATTAAAATGTGCACTTAAATTCAGAATTTTTATTATTAATCTAGATTTCAATTTTATTTAAAAATATTGTTTAACTCATTTTTATTCATAAATTAGAATTTGTGTTGAAACGTGCTGATGTGTTTAGAATCTGGGAGGCTAGAGCCCCACATCTTAAAAGCACTGCATTCAAATTTGGCAAACCAAAGTGCCATGCATCCTATTCATAAAACATCTGTGGCAAGAAATTAGATGCAATTACTTCGGGCTTGTCTGTATCCATCATTCTCCAAACTGAAAGTTTTCTACATAACTTTTGGGGCTCTCTGAGACTCTGTTTCACAGTGCATAAAAAGACAGACTCTCCATCTTCAAAATTATATAATTCAGAAAGATCTAAATACCAAAGTCATGACTTATATTAGTCAAAAATATAATCAATTACTAATTATTATTTATGCATAAGCAAATATAAAAAGATGACATGTGAGCTTCTAAAATATATGAATCTAGTACATTTAGTACATTCAACAATGTAAACAAATCATAAAGAGGAATAGAAGCTTAATTAGATATATAACTATAAAACTATCATAACTGTTACTATATAACTATGGAAAAAATGGCAGAAAATGCAACAAAGTCTGTAAAAACTATATTTGTGCTTAGAGGTAAGAGGATTGACTTGTTTAATTCCTTTAAAGAGACAGTCTCTAAATTATGGTGGTTTAATTTGTGATTTTTTTTACTTTACAGTAGTATGAAAGTGATAAGTATTCAGTAGAAATTGTACTTTAATCTGTTTCTATGACTAGAAATATATGATAGACAACTTTTATGGTATTGTGTAACAGCCGTTTACAGCATCCAATTGGCCTTGTGATCAACAAAGTATACTGCAGGGTACTGTTCTGCTAAGCTATGATATATGATAGGTTGGTATATTAAATGTATGTTCAATGAAAATAATTTTAATTTATCATGAGTTAATCAGGATGTAACATTCTAAATTGAGGCATATTAGCATTTATATTATATTGTACAATTTTTAAACCTTTAATATACTCAGCTTTGAACTTTGAGAATAAGTTGTTTTAAGACAATAATGCCTAAAAACCAAGGTGATCTTGTGGAGAAATATAAACGCCTTATTGGTAATGATCTCAAGGTCAAATTATGCTTTAATGAGTTTTTTTGTTGCAGAAATTTTTTTCTTCTGTTTTTAAAATTTCAGTAACAAGATCTTGAAGTGTAATTTTATATCTTTGCATTTCAGACAGCACTATTTAGTTAAAATCACTTTGTCTAGAAACATTTTTTGATTTTTAAAAAGCTATAATCTTAGGATGAAAATAAAGATAAAGATAAAAATGTACAAAACTTTAAGGTGATAAATTGTTACCTCTTATTGCATAAAATCATAAAGCTTATATTAAATGCTTTCCTCTTGTTTGAGATCCTGATTTAGATAAATTGAATTGAGACAGATTTTTCAATTTTAATGAAATTGGTTACAACAAGCAAGTAATCCTTGTGTTTAATTTTAACACCTGAATATACTTAACTCAGTCCCATTGGGCCACTATAACAAATATAACTTGTCCATTGTGGCTTATTTTAAAAAGACATTTCTTTCATACAGTTTTTGGAGCTGAGGTGTCCAAGACCAAGGCACCAGCTAACTTGGTGTCCCAGGAGAGCTTATTCTGTTTTGCAAATGGCGTCTTCTCGCTAGGTAGAAGCAGCAAGGAAGTGCTCTAGCCTTTCCTTGTAAGGGCACTGTTTCTACTCTTGAGGATGGAACCCCATCTCTTATTCACCTAAAAAGACTTCATCTTCTAATATGCTCACTGTGGTCACTAGGAATGAAACGGTGACATTTAGGGGGACACAAACATTCAGGACATAGAAGAGAATAGGGAAGGAAAAAGACAGTCCGTGCCACAGAACCAAAAGGCAGTAATGATGTTTACACTTCTATTTCACAGAGGAATTTTCAGCCAAACATTGTAAGACAGAGAGAAAAGAAGGTCATTTTATACACACACAATCTCTCTCTCTCTCTCTCTCTCTCTCTCTCTCTCTCTCTCTCTCTCTCTCTCTCTCTCTCTCCCCAACATGGGAGAAGCTAAATATAAAAAAGCAAATGTTAATAGATCTTAACGGAGAAATAGATTGCAAAATAATAATAGTAGGGTGCTTCCATACTCCATCTTTAATACAATAGATAGGTCATCCTGACAGAAAATCAAAAAGAAAACCTTGGACTTGAGCTGTATGTTACACCAAATAGACCTAACAGATATCCATAGAATATTCTACACAATAGCAGCATACACATTATTCTGTAGTGCATACACAACTTTCTCCAGGATAGGTCATATGTTATGCCACAAAACAAATTTCAGATATATAAGAATGCTGAAATTATATCAAGTATCTTTGCCAAATAAAAGCCCAAAAGTATATATCAATAACAGGGAATATTGGTATATTCACAAATATATAGCATTTGAATGACATCCTCTTGATCTTCTAATAGGTCAATGACAAAATTTAAAGAAAAATGACACTTATAGACAAAAAACATCAAAACATAGAATACTAAAACTATAAGGTGCAGAAAAAGAATTTTGTAAGGGAAATAAGTATATAACAATAAATGCCTATGTGATTTAGATCTCAAATAAATAACAAGCTTCAAACTTTATGCCTCAAAGAACTAGAAAATGAAGAAGTAACTAAACTAAAAATATTAAGAGGGAGGAAATAAAGGTATCCAAAAAGAGAAAAACAATATTAAGAAAAAAAAGAAAATACTCAGAAAACACTATTAAGCATCTACAAAGCTAAAAGCTGATTTTTAACCAATAAACAAAATTGATAAAAGTTTAGCTGGACAAATATGGAAGTAAATAAATTTCAAAATGAAGAAGAAACATTACAGTTAATAGCACAAAAATACAAAATGTACTACAATTCTGGTATGTACAATTATACCAGCAATTTGGATGACCTATGAGAAACATATCTTTATAAAAAGTTGCACCCTACCAGGACTGAATCACAAATACAAAATCCCAACAGACTGGTAATGAACAAGGAGTTTGAATTAGTTATTAAAAATTCTTTTATGAAAGAAAAGCCCAGGACCTGATAACTTTACAGGTTGGTTTTATAAAATATCCAAAAGTTAACATGACATGGATAAACCCAACTCCCTTGTATAACTATGAAGATTTTAAAAAATTAACATGAATCCTTTTCATATCCTTCAAAAAAACTGAGGAGTAGTAAGCACTTCCAAATTCATTTATAAGGCCAGCTGTTAGGGTCCGTAAACAAGTCAAGATGGCGCCTGGCATTTTGCCAGAGGGAATGGTTGGAGAAGTAACGCCAGCAAGCCATTAAGATAGAGATTCCTTAATGACTGCTGTGTCTAGATTATGTCAATTAAGTTAAGCTGTGTGTAATTATTAAGATGAAGAGAATTCCTTAATGACCAATTGATGTATCTGGATGTTAATTGAAACAAGCTTTGTATAATCAGTTAAGTGTATATATACCTCTACTGTCCGACAATAAAGTGGCTCCCGACCACTAAGAATAGAACAGGAAGGAAGAGCATGAGGAATAGACTAACAGTAAACTAAGATGAATGGGGGGAGAGAAAGGAAGAGAGAAGGGAAAACATATGGAAATGGTAGGAGACCTTCAGTGATACACAAAATAATAAGACGTTATGAGGGGCAAGGGGGTGGGGGGAAAAAAGGGGAGAGAATTGAACAACAGCAGAG